TTACAAGTCCGACTCTCTAACCATTAGGCCACGACTTCCCTCAAAGCTTGATTAATTTGAATCTACACATACTAATACACTTTAACATTTCAAGTTGCATAAATCAACACTATTTAATGAATCATGAACAAACAATAATTAACTATGAACAATAGTATATTTATAAATTATCATTAACCTAGATAATTAAACGCTGCACAAATTATTTCAAGACACCAAATGCATAAACTAAATGTTAACGAAAAAAACTTGTGTTACTAAAATGTCTTATCAATAACTGTTACATAAAGATACTAAAACTGAATTAATAAAAGAACTACAACAAAAGTTTCCATAAACACATTATTGTCACGGATGCTAAACATAACATAGGATTTAGGAGCTCACCTGGAATTGCCATTGAAACGAGAAAAGGTGTTTGTAAATCCTTCAAGAGGAACCTTGGGTAGTTGTGAGAGCTCTTTTGAGATTACCTCCTGAGTTGTGTCATCCTGCCAAGTATATCCTATAATAAAGCGGACAGAGAGAACCATAAAGTAACATACATAAACTAACCGGATTATATTCAAAGAAACCCCGCTTACACCTTGAATTGCTGACATTTAAAAAGGCATTACAAAGACCAGACAAGAGAAACTATTTTAAGTCACCATCATGACTGAAGCACACTGCTGCTCTCTATGCCCACAAGCAGAACTTTAAATAACTTGCTGCTGATATTCAAAGTATTCACGTTAATTAGTCCATATCTTTTCATTCAGACTAAAGACTTGCACAGTAATCTGAAGAATTGCATATGCAATCATTCACCTGAATTTAGCATTTTAAAAAATGCTACACTTTAAGGAATGTCAAACTTCTGGTCAACATCAAATCTAATTCTGCATCTCACCAAGAAAAAAAAACAACTAGGAATGAAACAAGACCGGGGCAGGTCAGAATCACAAAGCTTTCTGAATTCCATGGAGGAGAAACATAAATAAAAAAACACCAAACTGATGCATCGAATCCCATCTTGTGCATTCTGAAAACGTGTTCACCCAGCTTCCATGCAAATGTCACCCAATCAGACATACTTGAGATTGTTCACCACACTAAGGGACACAGGTATGCGGTGATTGAACGGATGGATGGGAGGAATGTCATTAACCAGCCACAGATGCAGAGGAACGAATAAAGATCTGAAGAGCATCTCCTTAAGCCCCTGTAGACGTGACCTCATTAGCCTTCCACCAGCCTCCGACATTCAGCCCTGTTAATCTGTTTTCTTGGAAACATGATGGGTGGGGGGCAGACAATGTAAATCTCTTATTTACATATATTGCTAAAAATGGCAGAAGACAGATCGTGGGCTTACAGTGGGGCCTCAGCTCAGCTGGCTTACAATTAAATATCATCTGCCACCATCTGTGGATTCTATACCTCACCAAATAGCATGTTGGGTGAAAGAGAGAAAATGTCATATTAGAGATACTGTGACTTTTTGAGGGATCCGAAGATGTGTGTTAATAATATAACATACAAAACATTTAGGCCCGGTTTCACAGACAGGGCTTAGACTAAGCCAGGATTAGGCCATAGTGCAATTACGACATTTAAGTAATTTTTTATAAACGTGCTTGGGAAAAAAACATTACTGGTGTGCATCTTAAGACAAAACACAGGCACTGATATATTTTAAGATGAGTCAGTGCAAGTTTCTTTCATTTTAGTCTAGGACAAGGCTTAAGACTTATCTGTGAAACCGGGGGATAATCAGTTTTTAAAGATAGAGTTCTTGTCAATTAATTTATCAACAAAGTGTTTGCTATAAGCTTTTCATTTGATGATGAGACAAAAATGAGTATCATGACATAAATGTAATCAAAATGAACAGTTGATGAAAATATGACAAGAGAAGGTGCTAGTCAGAATGTGCATGTCACGTTGTGAATACACTCAATCCATAATGCACTTAATAACTAAAGCATAAAGAGACTGCTGGTTAAATACTGTATTAATTTTAACCTGTACACTCTCAGAGAAAAAAGGTACAAAGGCTGTCACTTGGCAGTATCTTTTAAAAAAGTTAATTTTTGTACTTTTTAGGTATTAATATGTACACTTTAGGTACTGATGCGTACCTTTAAGGTACCAATATGGACCCTTTAGATACAAAGATGTACCTTTTGAATAGGTACCATCCCAGTGACAGCTTTTGTACCTTTTTTTTCTGAGAGTGTATCAACATTTAACATGTTTGAGTATTTGGTTTAATTTTGCACAATTTCAACTAAAATGTTATTTTTATTCACTAAAATTAGTCGCCATTTAAAAACGAACTAAAATGAATGAACATGACCAAACTTAATGGATATTTTCATCCATAACCAAAAATATCTAAAAGAAAAAACCGGCATAAAAATTCAGTTAAGAGAACAGCACAAGAGAAATTGCAAGCACAAGGACAGCTGAGCATTTATGTGTTACGCCAGCATTTACCCTCCATGGAAACACACACACTTACAATGTTGTTATACCTTCCTGTCACCCACGAGCGCTACACCCTTTTGCCTCAGCAAAGGTCCACCTCATTAGGTCTTGGATGGAGCCTAATATAATGTGCTACTACTAATTAGCAGACTGGTCATTGATGTCGCTGCTATCAAAATATGTGAGGGGGTGATGGTGGGGGGTGTCTTCCACGCATCTATTGCTTTTTTTAAGAGAACTCCATTATCTTTAAATATTTAAATCCCTTTTTCAGCAACAGACTTGCCTTCCATTCTTTGTTTTGACTGGCTTTTGGTTGTGCGGGGCAATACGCAAATGGGTGCACAAGTTAATGTGGAACCATCTTCCAATTAGTGAAGCTGACAAACATTGATTTAATTCTGTTCATCATGAATTGCCTAATTTATTGTGATAGTATAATAGCATAAATTAGGCAGGGGGACAGGTGGGCTTTTCCTGGATTATATGGGATTTCCATAGTATCTTCATGAACTAATTAATTTAACTCAGGTGGCACATTCCACAAATACGGTACAGCCTGGTATCCCATTATTTTAACCATTAGAGGCACAAATCAAATTTTTTTTCAGTTGTCATTGTGAGAGCAAGCTGATATGTTTGCAATACTGTTATCTAGAATAAAATTAATTCAGCATTAAAAGTAGCTCATTTCAAATGCATTAAAAGGTGGTACTGCCAATATATTATACTGTAGCAATATATATATATGATTTTATACATGCTTTTGCCATAAAAACAATTAACAATTACATAACGATCGTTCATTTTTAGATTATCTTTTGCAAATGTTGGATATCCGGTTTCCATTCAGCCCTTAATTTTTAGCGCCATCTTATATTGACAATCAAGGATCTGAGATCTAATATTCCTTTTCTAAATATGATGAAAGGTCATCGAAACCTCCTTTGCCTCCTACGCACAACACACAAGCCCGATCTACTGCAAAAGCCATCACCATTGGCCAGAAAATGGCAAAAACAGAAAACACTGCAGCAATGTGTGTTAGTCAAGCATCTGTTTAGAACAGCATTTAGGAATTCCTCAAGAGAGGGCTTCTGGACAGATTAATACTGTCTGGCTGTCTTGAGTTAAGCCCATGCAAAATGATGTGAACTTTGCTGCAGAGTAACAGATGCAGAAAGATGGAGAAATAATATGATATTCATAAGCCCTCTATAGAAAAGAGAATCACAGAGAGCTCTGTAGAAACTGTTGACATTTACTGTACTGAAAAGGACTTTTGAAGAAAGAAAATACATACAATTCCCCGAAACTAAATGCAAGTAACAAAATGTGACTCAAATGTAACTCAAATGTTTTGTAAATATGCAAAAAGACAATAAAAAAAAAAACATGTCCAAGGACACATGCGCTTCTGCTCTGTTAAAGCACTGATTGCAATAATTGCCAACAATTTATTTTGGAATTACAGTGTAATAGCCCTGTTTTGTAATGCAGGTTTGATCAGCCCTTCTGACAGTTCACTTTGAGTGTGCAAAGAAGAAATCTAAGTAAAATTTAGGACTCATTATTGAGCATGTTGGAGGGCTTACACACAGGCTAACAGGTACCAATCAAATGTGTTTTTCACAGCCTGATCTGTCAGATATAGTGCTTCTCTCACACTATCAAATAAACAACACATATATACATTTGTAGCACACCCAAGATTGTTTGGCAGAGTATAGCATTTTCCCAGCATGCATTGTGGCTGCTGAAATCTAATTTGTTGCCTTTTATTGCTGTTGAATTGTACTGTATTGTTATGCATTTGTGTTCTCCTGTTTATTTGTGTTTTCATGTTATTTGTTATGCCACTTGCAAGTTTTATACCAATGTTTTTGTCCTACTGCTAGTTACCATAGTTGCACAGAATGTGCCAGTTCATTATTTGTCTTGTCATGTCTTTCACTTTTAGTTCAAGCTTAAATACGTTTGTATGTGAAATAAATGATGTTAAAATCTGAGCTCCACATAACTGTATTTATTATCAACCTACAGCTCACCACAGCATCTAATATGCTGAAAACAAACTGACCATCTAGTTATTATGGTACTATTATATTCTGCACATTACTGTGGAAAGATATTTCAAGAATCAGAAGCAAATTAATTCCCAGGAGTTTTTGAACATCTCACCTGCATGGTTTTAAGAGGTATTCGTCAAAAATGTAGTGCACTATTGTGGCCAGTGTCCCCTGCTCTCCTTCTTTCTGTCTTTCTCACTCTTGCTCGCCTGTGTCTCGTCTCTTGTGGGCCATGAGAGTAAGTAGCTCTAATGCACGTCAAGGTGAATCACTTTGCTTCGCTGAGCTTCTATCTGAACATGGAGTTTCTACCTGTATGATGGTAAGGCCAGAGGTCATTGGAAAGCCTGGAGGGCCTTGTTACACATCTATAAACTTCTCATGGCACCAGTGTCTCTTCATAAGCCTTGTGTTTTGTTACCTGTACCCCACACCAGAACCTACATAATCAGGTACACTATATACATCTAATGAACAAATTTGTATATTTGCAACTATTTTGGAAAATAAACAGTCACTAATTGTTGAATGTACCTGATGTCACGTCACAGCAAAATATATGAGGGAAAAAAGATATTTGGAGATGGAGTAACTGTAATTTAGAAAATGTACAATATTATCTAGTGTGGAACAGAACACAGGAATGTTGAGACACATTTTTCAAAGATCTATTACATTGGCACTGCATCTTAAAAATGTGACGCTCATGGTGTAAGATGTGACTAAGACTAAATAGCCAAAGATGTCTGTCTTCATTTTTGCAGTATAAAAATGGTGCAGATGGAACACAACAAGATATTCTTTGAAATAAATAAATAAATACATACATACAGCCCAAAATCTACCTCAGAAAGACTACAAAATGGATTGTTATGGACCGTTATAGGCCGGTAATACACCTCAAATCAAGCAATATATTGACTTCAAAAGCATAATTTTGGTCTTCCTTAATAATATAATACTT